CGACACCGTGACGCTGTGACACCGTGACATTGTGACACCGTGACACTGAGGTGCTGTGACACTGCGACACTGAGGTGCTGTGACACCAGGACACTGAGGTGCTGTGACACCATGACACTGTGACGCCGTGACGCCGTGACGCCGTGACACTGTGACACTGTGACATTGTGACACCGTGACACCGAGATGCTGTGACACCACGACACTGAGGTGCTGTGACACCATGACACTGTGACACCGTGACGCCGTGACACTGTGACGCCGTGACACTGTGACGCCGTGACACCGAGATGCTGTGACACCGTGACACTGAGGTGCTGTGACACCGTGACACTGAGGTGCTGTGACACCATGATACTGTGACGCCGTGACATTGTGACACCACAACATTGAGATGCTGTGACACCATGACACTGAGATGCTGTGACACCGTGACACCGTGACACCATGACACCATGAGGCTGTGATGCTGTGACACCGTGACACCATGACATTGTGACACCGTGACACCGAGATGCTGTGACACCATGACATTGAGATGCTGTGACACCGTGACACCGTGACACCGTGACACCGTGATGCTGTGATGCTGTGACACCGTGACATTGTGACACCGTGACACCGAGGTGCTGTGACACCACAATGCTGTGACACTGTGACATTGTGTCACCGAGACGCTGTGACACCGTGACACTGACGCCGTGACACTGTGACACTGAGACGCTGTGACACCGTGACACTGTGACACTGAGATGCTGTGACACCAGGACACTGTGATGCCGTGACGCCGTGACACCGTGACATTGTGACACCGTGACACCGAGATGCTGTGACACCGTGACACTGAGGTGCTGTGACACCATGACAGCGTGACACCGTGAGGCTGTGATGCTGTGACACCGTGACACCGTGACATTGTGACACCATGACACCGAGGTGCTGTGACACCACAATGCTGTGACACCGTGACATTGTGACACTGAGATGCTGTGACACCATGACGCTGTGACACTGTGACGCTGTGACATTGTGACACCGTGACACTGAGATGCTGTGACACTGTGACGTTGTGACATGATGATGCTGTGACATCGTGATGCTGTGACACTGAGATGCTGTGACACTGGGACACCACAACACTGTGACACCGTGACACCGTGACACTGCGATGCTGTGACACCACGACACTGAGATGCTGTGACACCGTGACACTGTGACACCATGACAGTGTGACACCATGACCCCATGACACTGTGACACTGAGATGCTGTGACACTGTGACACCGTGACACTGTGACGTTGTGACATGGTGACCCTGTGACACCGTGATGCTGTGAAATGGGGACTCCATGACGCTGTGACACCGTGACACTGTGACACCGTGATGCCGTGACACTGTGACATCCAGGTGAGGATAGGGGACACGGGGACATTGTGGGGCTGGAACACCGTGACACCGAGATGCTGTGACACCGTGACACCGTGACACTGTGATACTGTGACACGGTGACACCGTAACATTGTGACACCGTGACGCTGAGATGCTGTGACACTGTGACATTGTGACACCATGACACCGTGACATTGTGACACTGTGACGCCGTGACACTGTGAAACTGAGATGCTGTGGTACCATGATGCTATGACACCGTGACACTGTGACACCATGACACTGTGACACCGTGACATTGTGACACTGTGACATTGTGACACCATGACACTGTGACATTGTGACACTGTGATGCTGTGACACCGTGACACTGAGATGCTGTGACCCCGTGACGCTGTGACACAGTGACACAGTGACCCCATGACACTGTGACCCGGTGACACGGTGCCACGGTGACCCGGTGGCGCAGTGACACGGTGACCCGGTGGCGTGGTGACGTGGTGACACGGTGACACAGTGCCATGGTGGCACTGTGCCGCGGTGCCAGGCAAACGTGGAGGTGGCGGCGGCACGGTGACACGGTGCCATGGTGCCGCGGTGCCATGGTGACACGGTGCCGCGGTGACACTGTGCCGCGGTGCCGTGGTGACACTGTGCCGTGGTGGCAGGCGAACGCAGAGGTGGCGGTGCGCGGTGACATGGTGACAGGGTGACACGGTGATACTGTGCCGTGCTGGCAGGCGAACGCGAAGGCAGCGGTGGCGCGGTGACACGGTGACACGATGCCATGGTGCCGTGGTGCCAGGCGAATGTGGAGGCAGCCGTGCGCGGTGCCATGGTGATACCGTGACACGGTGACACGGTGACACGGTGCCATGGTGCCAGGCGAATGCGGAGGCGGCGGTGCGCGGTGACAGGGTGACACGGTGACAGGGTGACACAATGCCATGGTGACACAGTGCCATGGTGACGCGGTGCCAGGCCAACGCGGAGGCGGCGGTGCACGGTGCCATGGTGCCATGGTGCCAGGGTGACACTGTGACACGGTGACGCGGTGTCGCGGTGCCAGGCCAACGCGGAGGCGGCGGTGCGC